ATACCGGGGAATCTATCATATACTGTCTGTGTTTATAACTTCCCTTAACACACCTTGTTCATTTGTTAATTAGCTTCGCGTTCTACCTTTCCATTAAAGATATAGATTATGCGTCTAAGTGTGGGCTTAGGGCTATATATTATTTATTAGCTGCCACCTCACAACACAAACATCCGAGCCAACAGTTCAAGAATTCTAGTCTCGACCGTTATCAAATCAAGCCGCCCGCTTCAAACACTATAATCTCCAAAAAATGGTAGCAAATCATCACTCAAGCGATTACAACGCGCGGGTCTACCAAAACCAAGTGTGAACAATTAATTCCGACACGCCCATAGCAAGATTTGTTTACACAACTTATAAATAGTCGATATATGACGGATCATGACGAAACCTCGCCATATAATCTTAATCAATAGCAAAGCTCAAATTCTACATTAACCACTACACAAGATAAAACAGACTTCGCGCCAGTACAAGCTTCAAACGTTACGCATGTAAGCAACGCAAGCGATTTCAGACAAAAAAAATACGAGACTCTTCTGCTTCTGTCCGAGCATGAGTTATCCCGCATCCGCCTTTGATTGATCCAAGGTCGCACGCAACAGTGCGTTATATTCTATACATGCGTAATTGCGTAAGTGCAAACTAATACACCGCAACACACACAATGCGGCGCGAGATCACACAAGAACCTATCAGGCGCCTTTTGAGCTTCGCTTTTCTGATATATCCATGAAGATTCCTTTCATGTGACAGCTCTTTAATCATCAAGTAGGTGTTACCATTAATATGAATAATTTTTTCATACCAGAGACCTTTTTGCAAACCTGTTTCATTGTGACTTGGCTTCCAAGTTAGCACTGGCCAGTAATTTCTTTATTGTTTCCTTTAATTCTTCATCTGTAGGGGGTTTCTTCAACTTTTCAATTAAAGGTTCATCATCTGAACTCTCCTCAGACTTACTTTCTTTTTTGCAACTGTTTTGATTCTTCTTGGTGGTGCTGCTATCTGCTTTCTTAACATTGGCACTTTTCACAGATTTTTTACTTTTAGAAGTAGTTTTCTGTTTAGGTTTTTCTCTTTTGGCTGTCTTTTTTGGTGGCTCCCCTTCACTTTTCTTATCTTCATCATCTGAAGACACTTCTTTGTTTTTCTTTTCATCTTCATCACTACTAGATTCATCTGACAGAATTCCAGGACATTTGGTTAGCTTAGCCTTCCTTGCCATTCCAGAACTGTTCCGTTCCTTTTTATTGTCTTTGCTAGAAGTTGTTTAAGATTTTGGCAATGGTTTGCCAGAAGGCTTTGGATGCATTAAGAAATTCAAGATCCTCTTCACTAGTTCACTATTTACACCTGATCTTTCCAAATCAAGAACCTCACAGATGCTCTGTAACACGGCATTTCTAAATTTTTTCAACATTTCTTCCTTCATTTTATATTGAACACTTCCTTTTTCAAATGGAAAGCCACAGAACTGACCCACATTCTTGTTTAATGAGGACACAGTGCCTGGCCTGTTGTAAAGCAGTTTGTGTAGATTTCTAAGTTCATCGGTTTTCTTCTTACTTAGAAAAAAATGTATCCTCTCAATTTCACAAAGTTTCTGCCCCTTTCCTTGTGCAATTGTAAATGGCTCTCTCTGTAAGGAAGGGACTTGCATTGTCAACCTCTCTACTTTTTTCTTCTCCCTCTTGCCTTCCACGATGCGACTCTTTTCTTTTTCCTCCTCCCTGTCGTCGTCGTTGTCCTCATCCTCTTGCTTCTCGCTCTCCTCTCTGGGACCCGGCATTTCGGGTTCTTTCTCGGTCGCGGGCTGGGTGGGGGTTCCCTCTCCCTCCGCAGCAGGGGCCGAGGCGGACATGATGTGAACCGCGGATCCCGCTTGATACTGCATAATCAAATGTTTCAACATATAGAAGATCTCAGTGAACCATCATTTTCAAAGTGACCAATGCATGATGTTATCATATCATGCAAGGGTAAAAGATCCAAAGTTCAAGAAAAATCAAGTTTTGATGGAGTATCAAAAATAGAAGCCAAAAGGGACATGGCCAAGACCCTGTCTCTACACAAAATACAAATAATTTAGCGTGAGGGTTGGTAGTCCACACCTGTGTTCTCAACTTTACTCTGATGGCTGAGGTGAGCTGCTCACTGAGGTCCCCATGTTGAGACTGTGGCTCCGTGCCGTGATCATCCTGCATTCTCATCCTGGAACACCAGCCAGAACCCTCT